TGCCAATGAAATGAATGATATATATAAGATAGTGAAATGAGTTGTCAATCCTTTAAATAAATAAACACCCTGGGAGTATCGTTAGTCACCGAGGAAGGGTTGGTTGAAATAACCTAACCCCGAAACTACACGTATCGGTGTTGGAGTGAATTGTGATTGTACCCCTTTATTGGGATGATATTGATGTGATGAGAATATTCCCCTTTATTCAGATGAGATGTTTGCTATAAGAGGGTGATATTGATCCACACGGCATTGTGGTGAGACGGCCTGGCTGGTTGGGTCGTGATCGGATGCCATGCCGCACACGTGGTGGTGATTGTGCTTAAGATTACGATCGAAACAGTGATTGAGATAATGATTGTGATTGTGGTTGATGTCTTTGGGCGAGACGGACTAGCCGATTGGGCTGTGATAGGACTCCGTGATAAAATCACGATGTTATATCGGTGCTAAGACCTCCAAACCTAAAATACGAAAATTTACTTGAAAATTTGTCTTGCTCCTAACTTGATGTTTTGGTATTGTTTGAGGCTCCCATTTATTTTATCATTGTCCTTCCTTGTGTTATCATTAGTTCTATTGATAGGGTGTTTAGTCATTCATACTAGTACTATTTCATATGTACTAACATCCCTTTTGTCGGGGGTGCTGCATCTTCAATGGATGCAGGTAGTTCCATAGAAGGCAGCTTTGATCATTGATAGTGGTACACCCACTTCCCATATGACTTGGTGAGCCCCACTTCATATCGGGGTCGTATATCTTTTGTTTCTTTTGTATCATGTTTTGAGGTTAGTCGGGGCCTTGTTGTCGGCACTATCATTATACTCTTTTGTATATATTAGAGGCTCCGTAGACATAGTGTGGGTGGTGTCTTGGTGTTGGAGAAGTCAAACTAGTAATGTTGTATTTGTATCACACGTTCCACTTCAAAGTATGAAAGTGTATGTATTTTGAACTTTATAAATGATGTAACTAATGACAAGGAATCGGTGTTGTTCACATGATCATCCACATTGTCTAATTAATGAAATTGACATTTCCTTTATTCATGAGTGAGTTCGGGTAGAAGGTATTGTAAAAGCTTGCTCTGTCGGGTTATCTCGATTAATCGCCGGTCGCTCTCCCCCGGGTCGGGGCGTGAAAGGTGGAACTTGTCCTCACTATCTGTGAGAGAATAGATTAACAAAAGTTTAGTTCCCGCAATTAACAAATTCGCACGACAAGAATACAAGAATGTGAAGTTTTCCTAAGGGTTCGGCGGCCTCTTGAAGATAAGTACAGACGTCTCCATACCGATCCGCATGACTCCACTAAACCTGCTCATGACTCCTGAGACATATGTAACCTAGGCTCTGATACCAATTTATCACGACCCAAAACTTAGCCAGTCATGATGGCGCCTAACATGGTACTAGGCAAGCCGACGCCTCAAAACATTTCCAACACTTTTAAATGAAAAATGAACTAAAATAGATTTAAATAATTAAAGCTCTCATAAACTGGATAGAAGATCAAAACTCATATGGAGGCTCCCAAAACGAAGGTGTCACTGAGTACATGAACGTCTATACAACACAAATCTAAAATATTGTCTATGTAAAAAATTGAAACAAAATACATAAAGCTGAAAGATGGGGAAGGAGAGTCAAGGTCTGCGGACGCGAGGCAGCTACCTCGAAATCTTTGAATAACTAAGCTACTCAGATAATCAGCACCCACCGTATCGGGAACACCTAAATCTGCACACGAAGTGTAGGGTATAGCGTGAGTACAACCAACTCAGTAAGTAACAAGACTAACTATTGGACTGAAAGTAGTCATGAGCTTCACGGTTACAATTCAATTACAGAATTACAGTATAGAAAACGTAGTCATTCTTTCAAGTTCGACAGTTAAAGCCAAAATAGTTAAATCATGTCAAGTTCAATTGAAATAGAATATTGCACATCTCAATATTTAGATGACAGTTATATATGCCAACCGATGTACAAACAGTAATGTAATCATGTGCATACTCCCAGAGTATCAGTCACTCAGTCATCACATTCACTCTAGCCTTACAATCACTCATTCCTCACAATCACTGCATCCTCACAGCCACTCAATCCTCCCAATCGCTCGGCACTCGCCCTCAATAGGTACCTGCGCCCACTAGGGATGTGCAGACTCCGAAGGGGCAATTACAGCCCAAGCACTAATATAAGCCAGTCATGGCATGAATCAATAAACATGTTGCGGCGTGCAGACCGATCCCATCACTATCCTCACAATCAGGCCCTCGGCCTCACTTAGTCATCAATCTCTCCAGTCTCTCGGGCTCACGAGATTTATGATAATTATCCCAAACAATGATGATATAATGTATCAACAAAGGACAACAGAGACTAAGATATAATATGCAAGTAAAAGTTGTGACTGGGGTACAAAATGGCAATTTAGCAAATAATTCTACATGTATCACGATATCCGTGGGTCCCTACGGTACCAAGACATAGCCTAAGCAGGATTTCTAACATGACTGTCAGCTTAATTTCTCAAACACATAGTAAAAATACGGGTGACAACACAATTATTCAACTATATAGTTCCATGGAATTGACCAAGTCAAAATTCCAACCGTGCATGCCCACATGCCTGTCGCCTAGCAAGTGCGTCACCTCAATACCAATGACAAAACACGTAATTCGGGGTTTCATACCCTCAGAACCAAGGTTAGAAGTGTTACTTAGATCTAACCATGCAAATCCCTACTCCAACAATCCCTTACCTCGCGAAGCGGCCTCCGAATGCCTCGAATCTAGCCACAAACACTTCGATACAATCAACACGAGCTAAAGGAATCAATTCCATATGAAATTACTAAGTTCTTAATCAAAAGTCAAAAAGTCAACTCAAAAGTCGGCCTCCGGGCCCACGTCTCGGAATCTAATAAAAGTCACAAAATTCGGAAGCCCATTCAACCACGAGTCTAACCATACTAAATTTATCAAAATCCGATGCTAAATCGTCACTCAAATCCCCAAATTAAACTCTACAATCCCTATCCTCAAACTCTCAAATTCCACTTCAAAAACTCACAAACTAGGTGGGAAATTCAATGGGGAAATATAATCATTGAATAAGAATAACCACAAGTGACTTACCTCAAGAATCCTTTCGAAATCCCTCTCAAAAATCGCTTAAATCCGAGTTTACAAAGTCAAGAAATGATAAAACCATCGGAGCCCAACATTTATATTCTGTCCAGGCATTCTCGCACCTGCGACAACTTGCCCGTACCTGCGGCTTCACGGAAGAGAGAACTCTCCCGCTTATGTGGTGATTCATTGGGGACAGACCTTCGCACCTGCGGAACATTTTTCGCTTCTACGCAAACGCATGTGCAACTTACTTCACGCTCTTACGCTGCCCCCTCGCTTCTGCGCTTAACCTCACTGCATTTGCGGCCACGTAGGTGCGGACAATCCTTCGCACCTACGACAACTGCACTCGCCTTTCCTGGCCGCACCTGCGCTCCAATGCTCGCACCTGTGATCAAAGCTCCGCAGATGCGATTGCACCAGAAGACTTCCAACTTCAGCAACCCTCTAACTCCAAGCCTTGATCTGTTAACCACTTGAACTCTACCCGAGGCTCCCAGGACCTCAACCAAATATACCAACAAGTCCTAAAACACGATACGAACTTAGTCGAGCCTTCAAATTACATCAAACAATGCTAAAACCACGAATCATGCATCGATTCAAGCCTAATGAACTTTTGAACTTCTAACTTCTACATTCGATACCGAAACCTATAAAATCACGTCCGATTAACTCCAAATTTTGCATACAAGACATAAACGATACAACGGCCTTCTCCAACTCACGGAACCTCAATCCGAGCCCGGTAACCACAAAGTCAACTCTCGGTCAAACTTTTAAATTTTTAACTTTCGCCATTTCAAGCCTAATTCAACTACGGACCTTCAAATCTAAATTCGGACACACTCGTGCGTCTAAAATCATCCAACGGAGTTCACGGAACCATCAAAACTCTATTTCGGAGTCATTTAGATACAAGTCAACATCCGGTTAACCATTTCAACATAAGCTTCCAACCTTGAGACTAAGTGTCTCAACTGATTCTGAAACCTCTTTGGACCCTAACCAACTACCCCAGCAAGTCACATAGCAATAATTAAGCAGTAAATGAGCAGTAAATGGGAGAATAGGACTACAACTCTCAAAACGACCGGTCGGGTCGTTACATAAGTGCCTTGCAAAAAAAATCAATTATTTAAAAATATAAAATAGGAAATTAGAATTAAGAAAACTGATCTAAATAAAGTGAAACAATATTGGATAAAAAGCATTTCGTCGTTGCTCTCCAATTTCTCCATTCTGAAAAGAAAAGTCCAATAGTAAGCTCCCTTTACGGATTTACTCCACAGGTCATTGTTGTTTCTTTTATTCAACACGCATCCTTTGGACCTCTCTAGAGAGAGGGAGAGAATTAAAATGCAATAACTATTGATTTTACTATTTTTGCTATTGGAATGGCTGAATAGCGCCAAACTTAACAAAATGCAAAGGAGTGATCTCAGAAATTTCACTGAAGGCGCAGCTAGAGACCTTTCAAGTGAGAGATGTCAGTATACTCTGATAGAGTAGAAACACATAAATGCTTTTTTCATTTTCACCGTCGGAAAAACTCCGATCTTAAAGAAATGCAAATGAGTGTCAGCATTTCCATTGAAGACGGGCTAGTAAGACATGTATTTGCTTTCAATTCTCTAACTTAATGTTATCAGCTCATTTGACAAATTTTATATTTCGAACCATTTTGTCTGTCTTCTTTTTCGTAATATAAATGAATTTTATTATATATTACATAATAGTTGGCCCATAGGAATTACAAAAACAGAATCAGTACTCATAGATTCATTGCTAGTACAAGTAGTACAAATATATTTTACGGATAACTTTCTGGTGAGGAATTGGAAATGAGACCTCCTCAAAACTTAAATTGGTCAAGTGACCTCTTATTTTCTTTTTAATTTCCTTTGGGTTGGAAAATAGCTAAATGAGTAGGTTAACGTGTTTGGCCTTTTAACATTTTCAAAATTTGTGGGTCAGCTATTAGGTTTGGAAAAGTAGCTTTCTTTCTAATTTTCAGCCATTTTCTCTTTCATCTCTCTCTCACTCAACCCCCTCGACCACGGTAGTTTCTGGTGGGAAGGTACAAGAATCAAGCTTCGATTTTGGGTGGAATCGCCTCTATAGACCCAACAAGTACTGTATTGTTGCTCAAAATGTGTCAATTTTGATAAATACTAAATTCTTTTTTTTTTCATTTCTTACATTTGTGATTTGGGGTTTTGCAGAGGGATTCGTTCATGTCCATGTTCATGATCGATTGTGTTGTGAATGGAGAAGTTTTATATGGCGTGGGTTGTTATATTTGCTTTTTGAACTCCTCTGTGCTCTGTATTTTAGAATTTCGTCGTAATTGACGACCTATGGTCGATTCTCTTCTGTTCATAGATGTTTGCTAGAATTGAGGCTTATTTTTCTTATTCTGGTCATAAGTTTCAAATTATTAAATATTACATTGCATATTTGCATGTTGGTAACGTGAGGAAGGAATCAATTGCTAAGAAGCATACTCCTTCAGCAATGATAGCAATTGCACAACCTTCAAAGGTAAATTAAATGTGTCATCCATTATGTTTTACTCATTCTTCTGGTTTCTTTAATAACTAATTGTGATTTTGATTATTGTAGTGAAATTAGTGGAACATATGCAGTGACGGTCATTGACTTCCTCCTAACTGATACGCTGATGGTCAGCTTAATGACATACGAATGGAGTTGGTCAGGGAAATATTTACGGTGGATATCTTCAGGGGAAGGGTGGACTCTTCTTAGTTTTATTAGTGTAATTTATATTTGAGTTATTCATTTGACAAACTCATTTTGGGTGAACTTGTAGTAATTTGTGATACTTGCATCTGCCACTATGTAATGAAACTATCTTTTTGCCGATTAATTGTTGATGTTGCAATTTTTGTTTCATTAGCACTTCCTTTTTGTATTACAACAAGTTAGAGGTTGTGTAATAGACAATGTGTCTAGTAATAAACTAGCTACTTGGTTGCGTAATAGACACTGGGTCCATTAATAAACTAGCTACTTGATTGCATAATAGACACTAGGTCCATCAATAAACTAACTATTTGACTGCGTAATAAACTCAAAGTCGCTTCTAATAACATCATCAAATATCACATTACATCAATAGAACATTACATGATCCCAAAGATTTCCAACAAAACAAACTTACAATAATTAAACTATTTCTACCAACAACAAACAAATATTCCTTCTCACTTCATCATCCAAGCTACCACGAATACAACAACGATGCACAAGAGCATAACCCACTTATTCAGCCTCATTTCATTCATTTTAACCATCCCTCCAACATAATCATTTACAGGAATATGCCCTACCTCTAGATCGATCCCTCCATCATCATCATTTTTCTCATGAACATCCATTGCAAATATATTTTCAAGTTCAGCCATATTCATCTCCGAATAATTTTTTCACGTTTAAGAGTGTCCTTTTCGCACTTCAAACTGCTGATAATGCTAGCAATCCTTGGATCTATCAAATCATCATCTCATTCCCAAAATTGATATTTTTTACCTTATCGAATGAAATGGGAAAAATAATTTATCAGTAAAATTGAATTTCTAAAATTAAAAAGAGGCGAATTGTGAAATTTATCTCCCTAAAATTAAAAAGAAGCGAATTTGTGAAATTTAGGTTACCTTAGGTGTGGAATATTTTGAGAATTGCCTTCCAGCATTCACAAGAGTTGGTCTATAAACCCCTTTAATGGTCTATAAACCCTGAACCCTAACCCTGAACCATTCAGCAAAAATCAATACACTTCCTTAATGGACGAGTGTCAGCTTTAGGTTGCGTTCTTAACTCTTACTATGGTCGAGGATAAATAAGTGGTCGAGAATTCACTAAAATAAAGATTACACCATGTTCGACCTTGGTTTCTTTAATTTTATAGCATTTAAACATCTTATTAATCATCATGGAACATTGAAAGTTATTATACTTGATAGTGTATTTCATACCATTAAGAGTTGGTCATTCTAGAAGATGTAACAACTCAAGAAGCTAGACCTCTAAGTATAAGAGTGTTGTCTAGTAAAATGTTATCAACAAGTAATACCTCTAAGTAGATGAATGTTGTATATTAAATATTGGGCTATAATATCAACATGTGTTGATATTAATTAATGTTTTAATCGATTGTTATAGGTAATTAATCTTCAAATTGCGTAAATTGCCTTAATATTATATTGTAATAATGGTCAATAGCTATATAATGAAAGTTGTATTAACCAATTATTGACTTAGGTTATTAGCGATATAATTGATATGTCATACTAATCCATATTATCCAATTCAAAGTTTGCAATTTGATGAATTAGTACAACTTTAAGTTATTCACAAACAATTATTATTTTTGAATTAATATAATAAATTAATATTTTACACTAACAAGCAACTATTAATCGATGACCTATCCGTATGCCTGTCCAATTTATGATTGAAATACAGTTTTTAATTCTTTACAGTAAAATTCTATTGGTTTATATTTACAATAAAATTATAGACCACATATGGGTAGACTATATACTGTAGGTTTATTCAACAATTCATGTGAATTTGTTTTTAATTTATTGGCGAAAAATTTAAATATTTGGAAGAATATAATTTATATCTCTTGAGTTGTATTTATCGATGGAAACCTCTTTATTTAAATTTGAGTCTTTTTTGCAGTTAAGTATTGTTAAATATAATATAATTAGACAAAAAGTAATATAATTGTTTTATTAATTATCTCCCTTCACAACATCATACATGTTTTCCCATCAACTTAAGAAATAAAATTTAAACTGTAGGGGGGGGGGGAGAATTTGGAGGTCTAACAAAGTGGTCAATATTTGCACCAGCCCTATGAAGAAGAATCCGCAATGTGCGTGCGATATGGCGAATGTTCTTATCTTGTCTCACCATGTCTTCTTGGATCTCTCTCTGGTGAGCCTATCTAGTGATACCCTAATAAAAATTGCGTCCATGCTTGGCTTTAGCCTCGGAGGTATTTCTCTGATAAGTGATTGGGTTGTTTGTTTACACTAATTTATTTGGAAGAATGATGAATAAATTTTTCCATAAGATCTAGTGTATTTACAGGTAGTATTTAACACTAAATTATGCATTTCCATATGACTTCTCGTAAATGACGTGACTGTTGAGAGTTTTGAGAAACGATTTGATGCTTTGAATTGGCATATTCAATGGAATTTAATTAATTAGATAAGTCCTTTGCATAATTGGCTTCCAGAGCTTATTCATATTGGACATTAAATTAACTACCTGAACTAGTGGTTATCAATAGACTCGTATGTGCTGTCGCAACAAGTCTTGGTTAAATTGAAAATATCGATGGAGGATGACAATAGAACACTAGTTGGTTATTGTCACGACCCCAATTTCCCTCCGTAGGATGTCGTTATAGAATCTAGTAAGTATTAAGCCTAACCTCGATAGTATGAGTACACCACAATGGTACCAAGTAAGTATCAAATCTAACCTCGATAAAGTAGTGAGGGGGCCAAGTCAGGACACCTACTAGGATATAAATAAATAGTATGAAAACGTAATAAGGGCAATAAAGAAAAGCTGACAAATAACTGATACGAACCAAGATAATAACATGAACCAATATCGGAACTTAAACATGGAAATAACATAAAATAAGAAACTAAAGAGAACTATAATGATCATACACGGGCAACAACTACTAGAACTATAAAGTATGAAACAACAAGAAATGTTCCCACCAAAACTCTTTGCAATATGAAATAAACAGCAAAAATCACAACGAGGTACCACCTCGTATATAATGAAATTACAACCGAAGTACCACCTCGTACAATCAAGAATCACAACCAAGGTGCTGCCTCGTATTCATATTTCTCAATTTCAATCGCAATCTTTCCTTAAACTGTCGCGTGAGCCTTACATTTGAAATAGGTTTTAGTTTTCCCGAAATAGCTAACCAATAACTCAATAATGAGAAACAATGCATAACCACGATGTTAAATAAGAATAACTCACAATGGAATATATATCGCATAATAATGACTTCAAATAATGGAAATAAACAAGGGAAAGGATACCATGAACAATAACTCCAAATAATGAAAATCAACAATGAGAGAGCCAACATGAACAATAAGTTCACATAACGATAATCAACAATGAAAGAGATAACATAAATAATAACTTCAAATAATGATAATCAACAATGAAAGAGATAACACGTAACAATTAATAAGGCAACAAGTTCAACTAAAGCATGAGAGCAATTTATCAATTAGATTGTAGAATAAGTGTTAACAAAATCATTCGAGGCATGTAAGGATAGACTAACACAAGTAAGAATAGATTGACTATGAGACTTTAGAACATGATATGGCATTTCAATCAAAGCATGGAAATAGTTTAATTATCCTAAACCGGTCAAATACCACGTACAACCCATGTACTAATTTGTCACCTTGCATACACGGATTTCACTTAGCACAATGGACTAAAATAATACCAAATCCTAAGGGGTTGTTCCCCTACACAAAGTTTGGCAAAACACTTACCTCAACTAGACCGATTCAACACTCAAAAATAGCTTTTTCTTTAAATCTGCCTCCACACGGCTCAATTCTAACCAAAATCGACTTAATATTATCAAAACTTGGGTCCAATGGTAGATTCCATCTATCCATGACCCCACGAGTTCATATATGTGATTAGTTTCAAAAATCTTTATCAAAGTTTCACAAATTTTCACTTTGATTCACACTATTTTGATGTTAGAATCTAAGATACGTTGATGGAATATGATTAGAAATGGATTAGAATCACTTACCCAATGTTTGTAGGTAAAAATTCCCTCCTACTGAGTCTGGGGTTCAAAAATTCCGTCTCCCATCCCTTTAACCAGCTGCAGATGTCGCATTTGTGACACAGGGTTTGCATGCGAACCCTTGCAATTGCGGACTAGGGCTCATATTTGCAAACCCTGATAACCTCAACATTCATCGCAATTACGGTAGAGACTTTGCAATTGCGAACTAGAGAGCATCGTAAAAGCAAACTATTGTTTGCAATTTTGAACTAAGGTGAAATCTGGCAGACTTCGTAATTGTGAAGGGGGGCTCGCAATTGTGACATCGGAGCCCCCACTATCACCTTCGCAATTGCAATGTTGGTGCTCGCAATTGCGACACCTGAGAACCAGCAGCACCAGCAGTCTAATTTTAGTCCAAAACCATTCTGAAATATGTCCAGAACTCATCCGAGCCATCGGGGCTCCAAATCAAAACACAAAAATAATGTCTAAAACTATGAATCGAACACTAAAAGACATGAATTTCAAAGTAAAGTTCAAAAGTTTCTAAAGTTACACTCAACGTCCGAATCCTATCAAATGAACTCCAAATGACACCAAATTTTGTAAATAAGTTCGAAATAGCATAACGGACTTATTCCAAGTACCTATTCCGGGCTCAATAGCAAAAGGTCAACCTACCGTCAAACCTTTCAACTTCAAATTACCAAATTTCGATGAATCAATATAAATCAACCTACATACTTAAAAAAAAAATATCCGGGAGTACGCCCAAGTCCGAAATTACGATATGAAGCTATCAAAGAGTTACACCCCATGTTTTCGTACGTATGAGTATGTCGTAAAATAATTGATGTAAGCTTAAAAATGAGATCATTTTTTAAAGTACATAAAGTAAGTTAATAATGTTACATTGGAGGTTAGAAATCTTTAAGATCATGAATAACAAGTACCAAGAGGGTTGAAAATCTTAGAAGCTAAACGAAAAATAAGTTCCGTCGAAAGTCGATAAGTTTGGAATGTTATAACATGCAC